GCATGATGAAGTCACTCGTTATATATCTCAAGGGGGCTGAAAGAGAGATCAAGTAAAGGAAATAACGAGAGGCAGAACAGCCAATGTCCATGAAAGAGAATTTAAGGTATGTTCACTCAGTCTAATTTTCTTTTATTAAGGTTTTTACTAAGCAAGAGCATTCTAATAGGTTAAAAAAATAAATGTGAGCAATGTATGAGTGAATAAACAGCTGACATACGGAGGTGGTTCAGAAAGGAGCTGAGAGTATGGGACTATGTGTAGTTATAAAATATGGTGCTAAAAACAGTATTGTGATACACAACGGGCTATCTCCCTTTTTTCGAAGCTATTGGAGTATTTTTATTTATATCTTTATCATTTTTTTAATAGATATTATGGAGTCTTGAGTGGGCTTCCTATATTAGTGATTTGTCTAGTTTGCTAGCAATAGAATTACTGGGTAGGAAGTGAATTCTATTCAACGTTCTAAACACGATTTGAAGAGGTATTTTGCATGATAAGTTAGCATCATTACCATATGTTCGTGACATCCCACTAAACCATAAGGAGCCGTAATTAAACAAAATGGTCTGCCCTACAGACATGGGTGGTTTGAAGTTATCTCCCCACCATCATGTTTTCTGGTCAGTAACGCCACCCTCCCTCCTTTTGTGATGCTAGGCTCTCTTACGTTTGCGGTAAGTATGAATACTGCTTTAATCAAAGTCCATGGTTGGAATACACTGTCTCTACTAGTTCCATATTACAAGCAAATCAGCTAGTTAAAGAATTTGTATTGTGAGTTAGATGTCCATTTAGTATGTCACACTGATATGAAGATATATAACGGTTTAAAGAAATTAAGGACTAATAGCGGATCAAAGGATATGAAAGAGTATATAATCGTAAAAAAAATTTCGGGGTAAGAAAAATGAAACATTGAGCAACTCACTATGTGACCAATTTTGAGCTTTGTATGATCGGCCTTAGTAAATCAGCATCTATAAGATTAGTGAGTTATCTGTCTACTTGCAATAGAAAGAAAATTGGCATGACACTTTGGAAGAATAATGTATACTTAACCTGTAGAGGGATTTGGCAACTGAAAGTGAGGGTTAGGAGCGTCAATTCTTGATTAACAAACAATAAATAATAGGAAGGGATAAGCCATATGTTCTGTAATTCAGTTATATTCATATTAACAACAGTCAGGCTTGTTATATTCTTGTTCTTTCTAGATATTAGGCGGTCCGTAATAAAGTGCCTCATTGGTGGGTGGGAGTTCAAGGAAAAGTTGAAGCTCTTTAAAGTCTAGAAACAGTATCATTAGCTTTTTTAATCTGGTAAATGTGTCACAGTTACGGATAGTCGTTGGCAGCCTGTTCCACGATAAAATATAACCTATTAAAATGTCCTTGCTTAAAAAGTAGACCATGTTGTCATACTTTCACTATTTCATCACAAATGACTCAAGTTCAGTAGTCATGAGTATTGTTTGCATTGCTTCTCGTCCTTTCTTTTCCTTACCCTCTTTCTTCAGCTCCCTTCATGATATGCTACTGAAAACGCATATGGAATGGGTGACGACTGATTTATTTGTTTATAAACTGCGTATATCTGAAAAACATGATTCGTATAGTATAGACTGAAATTGTGCTCTAGAATTAAATGAACAGAACCGCACGAAAGCAACCAACAGGCATTGAGAGTTGACTCTAATCGTCCTGTACTGGTTAGCGCATGATTGTTTTGGTACAATGTATAGGTCACTTTATCACGTGGTAATTAGCAGGCTACAAGTCACAACAATTTACGACGAAGATTCTAAGAAAAGAGAGGAAAGCCAATAGACTGAATATTTACATAAAAGAATGTCAGATAAACCAACAGAATCTCGAAGGTTCTAATCTGTTTCACGGTCCATTTGATTAGTTATCGGACATTATTTGTATAAATTATTGAAAATCGCACTGACGTTTTGTTGGTGACATTAACCACTTTTGCAAAGAAATTCATCAAGCAGACTTTTGATCCGGGTCACAGTTCTACTGTAATGGTGGTTTTATTTTAGTCTGTTCCACATGGTTAGAGAGTGAATTTTAAATACTTCTGAGGTGAGTTTGTGTAGGTTCTCGGAATTGATACAATATTCTGTATTTATTGCGATGGTTGTGGTATGACATGATAGGGTCTTCGGGGTGGATGCCGAGGAGTAATAAGTACCACTCATGCGCCCGCAGGTAATGACGATTTTGATTTGATGCACCTGATCCAGAAAAATTACAACTTCAGTTATTGACAACTTTGTTCGCAATCCATATTGTCGGAATACAATGGAAAGTATTTTGTAAACCGTATTCAAAAAACCCTCAATTTTCATCAAATCATTATGTGATTGTAAACAAACTGAACAGAAGTGCTAAAAATCATGCTGCCGACTGTCTTGACAATGACAAGTCAATGTGGACTATGACGCAACGTGCGCGTAAAATGCTATCAATTACGCAGTCTGATAATTGAAAACGTAAGGTTGAGGGATATGCCCTTCATTCTAGTAGCATAATTAAGTGTTCTGATACCCACCTTGACCATAATTCTATACTCCTTTATGCAAAAGAAAGATTAACAGACGATGATGGACATTACAAGATATCAGAAGCGTGTTTATCCACGGGAAGTTCATTTGGTTTAAACTTCTGACTGGCCAGGTTTTAGAGTCATCACTAGTACACTCGCTGGAGAGTGAGCTGTAGCAATAAATAACTGGCTGAAACTTGAGCACTTGACATTGATGCTCACCTTATTAATTTTACTGAACACATCTGAAAGTGCTCATTTGCACCAGATCACTAGTGGATAGGCTGTTCTATGCATTTCTTGCAATCACTACCCAGCTTAGATCAATAACTTTCCAGCACATCAACAACATCTCAAATATATTTCTGAACTTGTTTTTCCCTGACCTCTGATTTGACTGGGCTGGTGTCTTTCGACTATAAAGATGTTGCAGACAAAGATGTTGTCAAATCATGAATATCTGTGGCATATCCAATGACAAAACACAAGTTTCTTGCGTAATTTTTGTAATGGTGTATAAAGTTTACAAATTATTACAATAACTAAATGTCTGAATTAAATAGTTATAACGGAAACAAACTAAAAGTTATGGTGTTTAAGGTAGTTTTTTATGGAAAGTTGAATACTTTGATGTTAACGCTATTAACTATTGTTTTTACGAACTAATTAGTGCCTTGTGACTGATAATAATAGACTAGAAGAGAATGAGAGACATGTTCCCACGGCTGTACTGAAATATAGCTACTATGACTGGCTAAGAGCCATTAAAAAGAAATGTCGTTTACAGCAAGGAAAACTAGAGTATAAATCAAACGCCGTCAAGACTATTTATACGGGGGTATTGCTTACTCCTCTATATCTTGTCTCTGGGAAAGTTGGCAGGTCCTATGCTGTGTATGAGCCTTTTCACCCAATTTAAGCTGGTTAAAGTCTCTGAAGGCCAAATTAATTGCCCAAAATAACAGTGTATTCAAAATTAAAAGATCAGAATTTCAAATTCATATTTGTGTAATAAAGACAGAAGGCTTACGGCCTATGTTATTCCTGCTTAGTATGCTTCTGTGAGTGTCTAGTCTTCACTTGAATGAGTCAATTGAAGGTGCGGATACCACTGCTTTGGTTGACAGGTTCAAAGGACTGATGACTTGGTGTAAAAATCTGTATGCCACTCGTATTTTGTTCGTTCTTGACTTTTCTACTCGCCTGTTATGTCCTCTGAGATGTTACGACCTAGTAGGGAGAAAAAGAGGATATATTAGGTTGCAATCATTTCTTAGTGTTCCATACATCAAAATCAGATCACCTCTTACTCTGTGTTAGGACAGAGTAAAGAGCTCTACCTTTTCAAGCCGTTCCTTCTGTGGTGAACTCCGGAGTTCTGGAATTGTGTGGATAGCCACCCTTTATACATTTCACAGGATATCCGCGTCAGCTTTTGAACGGGAGCTTGCTGCCTGGATGCATTTCTCAAGCTTAGTTCTCGCTAAAGTTGTATATACTTTAGTGAACAAGGTTGTATCCAACTTGGTCAATATCTGTCTTGAAGCCCAGAGGTTTCAAAACCCCTTAGCTGCTACCTCCCAGGAATGAACCGCGATCTTAAGGTCGTGACTCACTGTCACCCCAAGATGCTTATGGGAGCAGACCACGGGTACAGGCGTTTCCCCCATGCTGTGCCTAACTACCTTTGTATCTCCAAAGCGCATGTAGACACACTTTACCACGTTGATAGGCATGAGCCAGTCAGAACAGCTAATCACAATATTCAGGTCTTCCTGATTTGCGTATGCATCTGCATCTATTGTTATCTCTCGCCAGACTATGACATTTTGGATTCTACTGTACTTGGGAGATCATTTACATACAGTATAAAAGTAAAGGACCTAGGACCTTGACGTACTATCCTAAATACTGATCTCTAGGTGAAGCACCTTGAAGACGTTTGTACACAGAACTCTCGGTAGTTTCTGTGGCCACCTAGTAAGCAAATGATACTTGTTATAGTAAAACCTTTATTGGAGATGTCATTTAGAGCCCTTAGTTTTAAAGTGATTGTGTTCTTTATACTTTATGAACAATTTTTCATTGATTATACTCATATGAAGCAGTTGAGAATAATTCCAGATGCTTGAAATGGAATATTTAGCAAACTTATTTACCAGATATTGCTCTTCAGTATTCAGAACTTACTAACTGGACAGAAGCTGGCAGAAAGTCCTGGGTTAACCTCCATCAAACCTTGAAATAGTCAGTCTCAAAATTAATAAGTCGGTTTGAAATTTTAAGATATAGAAATGTGAGCACTTGACTATAAGATATAGTTGTCGATTATTCTGCGTCTAGAGTGTTTGAATGCACTATTACTAGTGTTTATATTACCCTGATAATGTTTTACTACACCATTTTGATAGTTGTAAATCAGTTGTCGTTTTAATGCCTGAATGAGTTTCTGCAAAAAAAGGATAAGCCACCGTCATCTTCAAGTCACCGTGATAATTTCTAGTTTGATAATCATAGTAAGATCCAATCTTTGATTGATTTTATGATTCAGGGATGTGCAGTTGCCTTGATTACTTTTGGTAGTATATTTTATAGTTCAGTTCGTAAATACAATGACAAACTTGAGACGACTGTTAAAGGAGTTATAAAATGCCTTATCATAGTCGGATGTATTATGATTTTTTCTGGATTCCTAGGTCTCTTTGGATCTTGCTTAAATAGTAATGATGTACTTTGCTTGGTATATCTTCACACTTTATAGTTGAACTATTTAATTTCCATTGATTTTCAGTTTTCTGTTGGTTTGGTCTCCATAATTATCGTTCAGCTAGGAACTGGAATAACATGCCTTTGTTATCAAGTAAAGGTAAGTTTTTTCGTTGGTGATGAGCTTTTATAGTTGTGGGATAATCTGCATCTGAGCTTGAAGAAAGCAGTTGAAAAATATCATTTCAATAAAACAATAAGCACCATTATGGATAAAATTCACAGAGATGTAATTATCAATTCAAGCTTATTTGATTACAGCTTAAATGTTGTGGTTCACTTAATTACTTAGAATATGGAGATAAAATTCCCTCGTCCTGTCATGAAGATGGCTCCATTTACAAAAATGTATTGTCAAAATAACATGTTTTTACATTATTATTGTTTACCTGTTTATTTTTACGAGTACATGAGTGCATGCATCTTTCCGTAGCAGATTTGGTTATTGTATAAATCATTTGTAAAATAGCTTGATGGTACTGTTGGATAAGTAATAATCTTCCTCTAGTACTTTATTAAAACGTAAAGCGGTTTACAAATATAAATACTAGACTTAAGACCCTGTTTGACTGTCCCTATGCTAATTTGAATTGTCTATTTACAATTACTTTGACTGCAGTAAAGCTGTGAAATTTTGGTTACAGCCCTTGATTTGTAGAGTGAATCTGCTTTATGATTTCAACAAGCTTCGAAATAAAAGTATGTTAGCAAACAATTAGCCTTCGTACTACGAACAGGTTTTAAGTAAGAAAATACACTATCAATGAAGGAACTAATCGCTGAAGTTTGAGTAAGTACACAATGGCTGGTAACTAGTCCGTAAAATACATTTCGTTCAACTACATGACTTATGGGCATTCTAGTTAGTGCGTTCAGTAGATAATGACTTGTAACGTGTTAATCGCCAACATCACTCAATGTGTATTCTTGTCTGGATACAATTAATGTTACAAAGTGACATTAAAAATTTCATATAAATCTTTTTGTAAATCTTTTAGAAACCTCAATAATTGGCTCCCGTTTTGCATCACTTCAAAAAATATCAGGATTAATAACAAAAAAAAGCCAGTTAGGTTATCTTTATATACATGAAAAAATACTGGATCCCAGAAATGTAAATTTTCAAATCGCAACACTACGGATCATTGTGGAACAATCAATTAAATGGAATTCATCACTCTACATCAACTTCATTAACTACGAGAAAGCATTTGATAGCGTGGACAAGCAAACACTATGGAAGCGTCTTTGACACTAAAGCGTAACTGAGAAAATAGTAAATATCATACGGAATTCCTATGATGCATAAACTGCAAAATCGTGCATGGCGGACAATTGACAGAATCGTTCGAGGTAAAGACTGGTGTCAGGCAAGGTTGCTTACTCTCACTTTTCCTCTTTCTCCTGGCGATCGACTAGATCATGTAGACGCCAACATCTGAAGGAAGTCACGGGATAAACTGGACAGCTAGGATGCAGTTGGACGACCTAGACTTCGCAGATGATCTGTCTCTTCTATCACACCAACAACAACAAATGCAGGAGAAGACAACCAGTATAGCAGCAGCCTCAACAACAGTAAGTCTCAATATACACAAAGAGAAAAGCAAGGTTCTCTGATACAACACAGCATACAACAATCGAATCACACTTGATGGAGAAGATTTGGAAGATGTAAATACCTTTACGTATCTGAGAAGTATCATTGATGAACACGACGGATCTGATGCAGATGTGAAAGCGTGGATCGGCAAAACAACAGCAACATATCTACAACTGAAGAACATCTGGAAATCAAAACAACTGTCTGTAAGCTAACACCAAGGTCAGAATTTCTAATACAAATGTCAATTTAGTTCTAGTGTATAGGGAAAAAACTTGGAGAACTACGAAAGCCGTCGTCCAGACGATACAAGTGTTTATTAACAGTTTTTTATGCAGAATACTTCGGATACGTTGGCCAGACACTATCAGCAACAACTTCCTATGGGAGAGAACAAACCAGATCTTGTCGGAGGAAGGAATCAGGAAGAAGTGCTGGATGTGGATAATATACACATTGATGAAAGCACCCAACTGCATTACAAGGCAAGCCCTCACTTGGAATCCTCAAGGCCAAAGGAGGAGGAGAAGAAGACCGAAGAACACGTTACGTCGAGAAATGGAGACAAAAATAAGAAGAATGAACAACAATTAGATAAAACTGGAAAGGAATGCTGATGACAGAGTAGGTTAGAGAGTACTGGTCGTCTGCCTGTGCTCCATTGGGAGTAACAGGCGTAAGTAAGAAATGTAAATTTGGAAACTCCGCATCACAGTCTAATCTAGATAGATTGCAATTGAACAGTACTATTTGTTCGCCCTCTACGAGGTTTTTTTTATTTTTTGAGATAAAAATCTATTTTGATTATTATTTGTAATAAATAACAATCAGGCATGGAAAACGGCACTCAATACGAATTCATGAAGAACTTAATAATGCATTTTGCAGAAGTTGTTATAGTTTTAACATTTTTATTACTTATAGTCCATTAACTAATACCAGCTATCCTTAAACACTTTAAAATTAGCGGGTACTGAATGTGTTCTATTTTTATGTCAAACTTTAAGCATTCTTGAAACGTTTGCCAAGTACCTGAATGTTTTTATAGTATCCTTGAAAGTCTTGGTGGCTGCGCTAGTTAGACTTCTACGGTGGTAATTTGACGATTGCACTGAGTAGATTATCTAACGAAAAGGTTAATTCTAACATTTTCCAGTCACTGTTTGGTTATGGTTCATATAAAAATACGTTACAACAAAAAATTGAAGACTTAGCGATGAGGAGCGTGTGGTTCTTGAGTAGCATCAGGACTATTTTATTGAGTATCGTCAAGCTTATTACGTTGGGCTTATTTAACAAACTAAAAATGTTTGAGTGTTTTATGGTCAACGTACTTGAATTTCAACTGAAAGAGAAATTATATCTGTTACCAAAAAGAAGGCTTATTGCAAATAACTTTAGTACGTTGTCTAAACATATCTTGAATTTTTTAAATAATTTTCTACTAGGATAATATGCCCTTTATCTTTCAGTTAATGAAGAACATAATGTCAAATACTCGTAGAAAGTGTTTTATGCCCCCTTGTAGATATTCTTAAAGCTAATTGTTAGCTGTTGGCTCTTAAATGTAGTTTAATCAATACCCACGACTCAAAATACTTTGATGCTTTTTGCCTTTTCTAAAGTTACTGTACCTTTAGTTTCTTAGGCAGAAGTGAGCTACTGCTTGACCAAACTTTTATTGTACAATTTACAAACTGTTTAACTGCCTTTGTATGTAACTGTTTAAATGCCATATGTCGTATTTACACATATATGTGCTGTAATAGGCCGATCCGTTTACATTATCACACACAAAAACGCAAAGTTATGTACCCTTTAAGCGTTTTTACTGAAGTTATTTGTGGAGGGGTGGTCTATGCTGAAATATCAACTCAACCAGAAATAATGTAAACCAGGAGTGATTTTTTGTCACATTCTTCATGAGTTCTACAAGAGCAGATTTTATAACTATATTGTCTAGAGCTCATTCAAACAAGCCTTCCAAAAGATTCGTTTTCAGATGTTTGGGGTCTGTGATGTACAAACTGAAATCTAAGGTTAAAATCTATCTAGAAATATATCACGTACTTTACAATTACGACTGCAATAAACTAGGTCCGCCAATGGCCCTTATATTTCGGGTAGCTTTCATGAGACGATTTCTCAATACTGAAAGTATGTTATTTCTGATCAGTAATACTCCATCCCCCCTACGAACTATAAGTTTTTTCTTTACTTTTGCGAAATTTTGGAAATCGAGCTCACAGTTCTACACGAGTGGAGTCAGCCACATTTCCTTCACTTTGATTGTGTGTAGTCTATAAGATTCAGTTCATACACTCAAGAACATTTAAGCATCAACTTAATAGGTGATGAGCTCACTTAAAAGACTTTATGTTTTTCTTAAAGTGATTTCATCACCACTAGCTTTCTAAGTCTTAAGCACAAAAATCTTTACCTATGGGTCATATGTTTTTTTACTCTGTTGTCATAGTAAGCATTACGTAATAATATAATTTACAAATATTCCTTAGTAGAACGAATACATGAAGTGCATGTATTACAAAAATCACATTCCTCACCAAAAAAAAATTCGACTTTACTGAAATTAAAAATTAAATGCATGGAAGATCTTGTTTCTCAATGAGATAAATGAAGCTTTACATTGAAGGATATCATCAGTTCATTCTTAATGATCACTATAATACTTCCTTTATCAACTGTATATAATGACAGTATTCTTGGAGTTTATTAACAATCTTTTGTGATTATACATTCAATTCAATTTGATAAAATGAAATATTCAATATTATTATTTAAGTAACTATATATTCTTTCTCTATAATCATATAATAATATTATTTTTATTTTACAGGGTTGTACTGATATATTAAATCAATTCGGTGGCCAATTTTTAACTATTGGTATGGTTCTTTCATTTATATTCATAATTGTTGAAATAATAACCATTGTATGTTCTATATATTTAACTGTATATATCGATGCAAAAGATCAAAGATGACATGTGTGTGTTTTTTTTCTTTCTTTCTTATAAATATCAATCACTAAGATGATGATGATTATGATGATGAATGGTTAAAAAGTCATTGAAATTAGTACACTATTGATCTTTTTGCAAAATGATTTACAATCTCTTTGTAAGGAAATAAGATGTAATTAGAAATCATTATTATATTTACATGTTGTTGGGTTTTTTTTTAAATGTAAATACTTTATATTTGTCTTTCATTTTTATGTTTCAAGTTGTTGAGTAAATAAAACATCTTATAACATAATTTATCCATTTAGAAGAATCCTTTAAAAAAAAAAGATGTTCATTTTGAAAGTAAGATAGTCATTTGTATTATTGAAAGATTATAGTTTTATAAATGATTGTATTATTTGGTTGAAATCATAAGACAATTAAAGCTAGACCACCATGGAAAACCTGGAAGTACTGGACGGCAGTTCCATCTTGGTAATGGGACGTCTCAGCAGTGCGCATTAACGATTGTATTATTTGTTGAAATCCAACCAGTTTTTATATATGGAATGTGAATTTTAGAATTTCTAATCAATATATTGTTACTGGATGAGGAAATTGAAAGGACATGAGAACAATATGATCAATTGTATAAACAGAGTAACTGTGAATGTTTTCATGAAGATGTTTAAGTATTAGTAATCAAGAAATCTGTATTGAAACAATCATTGTGATATTATGTATTGTTAATTTCTTATTGAAGTATGTGCACCCTGAGCGGGCTGCCCCACTATTATCATTAAGTTACAAGTAATTTTAAGCGAATTTGGAAGATTCAAACCCTTACAAATGAATTATAGTTCATATCCAAAACACAAGTTATTAGTTATCAGGACTTAGTAGTTAAGCGAATGATTGTTGAGTGGTTAAAGAGAAATGTGCTAGGTTTAAGTTCCAGTGTGAACGTTAATATGGGTCCAGGTCTCTAATGGGACGAAACTTGCATCCTGAATTCTACAATTAGCCAGTATCTAGCTGTGATAATTAGAAGTATTTGAATTATTGCACGAATTGGGAATCCCAGAAACAACGCAATTTAGAGCAAGAAAAACTAGATGAGCACTAATGAACGTATTGTGTTCAGAATTCGAAATCAGGCAGGCATCAAGTAGAAATGAATCATTAGTTCATATAAATAACACACTAAATCTGCCTTGAAGTGCTTGTAGCTTAATGGCAGTTTTAAGGCAATCCACTAAGAATGCACATGTATCAAAAAGAGACTAATTACAATATTTGGCATCAACAGCGGACTAACTCTAAACCATTACAGATACATTATTTATGATTATGAAAAGTACCTTTTTAATGACAAGTTATCATTGAATTTTCGGTCGTATTCCTTCTTTAGTCATAATAAAACTGTTCAGAGAGGTAAATTTATAAGCCATAGAATAATTAACTATCATCCCCTATTCTCATTTCAAACATATAAGTGTACTACTGAACGAAGGAATTATATAACCGTATTGTTTTCAAAGTTGAGTTTAGCCAACATAGCAAGAATAACCAAATAGTTGATGTTAAACACTAACACCACTGGATGCCAGCTCAGTGGTCCAGCAGGTTAAGCGTCCGCGTGCGAGACTGAAGGCTGTGGATTCGAATCCCGCGAACGGGATCGTGGATGCGCGCTGCTGTGGAGTCCTACAATAGGACGATGGTCTAACATCAATCGGTTCATGATCTCAATCAAAAAATTAGTTTTAATCTAAATGGGCATTGGGTTAATTTTCAAATGTTTTATTTACTAAGTGGTTAGCTTATAACTACAGTTTTACTCAAAATGATGTAATAAAATTTGCAAACTAAAATTATTCAGATATATGTGAAATAATTTTATACTTACAATTGTTGAAATCTGTGATCATTTCGATTTAAACAGTATAGAAGATTATAACCAGAAAAGTTTCATTTCGCTTCAAACCCAAACAACATATCAACATTTTACTGAAATATCTTCAAATGTACAAATAGAGGATTGATAATTGTATTCAGTGAAAACGGATCAAATATGTTATTAAACAACTGAAAATACAAATACATTCCGAGTATTTTACAACAGTAGGTGAACTGATCACATATGTTTTCGTAATACTTACTTACTTACTTACGCCTGTTACTCCCAATGGAGCACAGGCAGCCGACCAGTACTCTCTAATCCACTCTGTCATCAGTATTCCTTTCCAGTTTTATCTAATTGTTGTTCATTCTTATTTTTGTCTCCATTTCTCGACGTAATGTGTTCTTTGGTATTTCTCTCCTCCTCCTTTGGCCTTGAGGATTCCAAGTGAGGGCTTGCCTTGTAATGCATTCGGGTGCTTTCCTCAATGTGTGTTCTATCCACTTCCAACACTTCTTCCTGATTCCTTCCTACTCTAAGATCTGGTTTGTTTTCTCCCATAGTAAGTTGTTGCTGATAGTGTCTGGTCAACGGATCCGAAGTATTCTGCGTAAAAAACTGTTAATAAACACTTGTATCGTCTGGATGATGGCTTTCGTAGTTCTCCAAGTTTCCGCCCCATACAGTAGAACTATCTTGACATTTGTATTGGAAATTCTGACCTTGGTGTTGGCTTACAGACAGTTGTTTTGATTTCCAGATGTTCTTCAGTTGTAGATATGTTGCTGTTGTTTTGCCGATCCACGCTTTCACATCTGCATCAGATCCATCGTGTTCATCAATGATACTTCTCAGATACGTAAAGGTATTTACATCTTCCAAATCTTCTCCATCAAGTGTGATTCGATTGTTGTATGCTGTGTTGTATCAGAGAACCTTGCTTTTCCCCTTCTGTATATTGAGACTTACTGTTGTTGAGGCTGCTACTACACTGGTTGTCTTTTCCTGCATTTGTTGTTGTTTGTGTGATAGAAGAGACAGATCATCTGGGAAGTCTAGGTCGTCCAACTGCATCCTAGCTGTCCAGTTTATCCCATGCTTCCCTTCAGATAATGGCGTTTTCATGATCTAGTCAATCTCCAGTAGAAAGAGAAAGGGTAAAAACATTTTCTCGAAAATGGTGAGAAAATATTTTCATAATAATGGTAATAATTACATGATAATAGTTTTATTATTTGTCATATATTTAACAACACAGACCTTTTGACGTCTAAAAGTGATGAGTACTAGTGCATAGCCTTATTAACAGACTAGTCATACAAAATGTGAAACCATGTTTTGTTTTTTTATTTGGAAATAGTTTATACTCACATAAAGTCTACCATAGTAATAAAACTTTCTGATAATAAAATTAATAGGGGTGATATTATCATTACATCACTATGGAATGTTTATTGGTTTATTTTTTTATTCACATTTCGTAGATAAAAATCTTAACGAGTTAATAAGTAATTCAACTATTATTATACTCACTTGATATTGTTTTTACTTGAATCTTCCCATTGATGTTTTTTTTTAGGACTGAAATTGATCAGTCTCTTATTGACATATGTGCATACTGTGCGTATGCCTCGATATTGCCTTAATTTACAAGCATTATAAGCAAAGATGGATAGTGGCTAGCAGTGGAATCCAGGACGCGCGTTTCGTCCTATTTGGGACTCGTCAACTGGAAGAACCTACATCTCAGTGTTGATGTTCACTCTGGGACTCGAACTCAGTACCGTTCGCTTCAAACGCCTTGGCATTATCCACTTAGCTACTGAGTCCTGATAGCCACTTGCTTGTGCTGAGTTCGAGTCCCAGAGTGAACATTAACTCTGAGATGCAGGTACATCCAGCTGATGGGTCCCAAACAGGACGAAACGCGCGTCCTGGATTCCACTGCTAGTCACTATCCATCTTTGTTCATTATTATACTGTTTAAATATATCAAATATAAGATCAACTATTTTCAATTTAATAATTGAATTTGTTTATTATATAAGTCAATGATAAATAATGTAAAACTTGACATAAAATCTCATCGATTAAATTCTAATCAAAACACATTAATACAATAAGAAATAGAATAAAACTGATATTAAACAGAAATAGAAAGGAACAAATAAAATTATATTATAAACAGTATGGAATATGAAAATAAATTGAAGATTTAAATAGAGGATTATAGATTAAAGGTATATATATATATACCATTAAAATCTAATTTTGAACCATTTTACTACAGATAACAATTATCTGTGGTATATAACGAAAATAAAGTTAAAAGTTATAAATACGTTGAATTCATGAAACAATTGAAGCTAAACCATCAAAGAAACTTGGAAGCACTGGAAGGTCGTTTGATCTTAGTATGAAACTTCTCAGCAGTGCGCATCCACGATCTTGCCTTTAAGAGATTCGAATTAAGGATCTCACAATTGATTAGTCGCCGGGTGGTGACTGGTGGCCACATTGCAACATGATCGATAGCATTCGATCTGAACTAATAAGGACTAGACAAGCATGACATTGATCACCACCCGGTGATCAATCAATTGTGATTACATCTCAGTCTTACAGGAGGTTATTCACGGCTCGAATAGCTCAATGGTAACGTCTCTGACTGCGAAGCTGGGTGACACGACATCGAATCCGCTAGGGAGCACCAGTTCCCTCAAGATTAGAGGTACACCTTGCTGACGAGTGTCAAGTAGCACGAAACCCGGGTCCAGGGTTTCCTGTTGACTACCTCCAACCACCATCTGAATCCAGGATCTATCGGTACCGCGCATGAACGCTTAACCTATGAGCATATGATCATATGCTCAATAGTGACCGTCTCCAAGCGGTATTTCCTGGAGTTCTAGTGAGAAGCCGTGACCAGTGAAGTTCAACTGGGTCTGTTGTGAGATGGTAACTCACGGAAGACAATGGTGGATGGTGGCTCAATTTCGTGGATTAGTTGAATTTAGACATTAGCAAGGTCAGATGCCGGTTCAGTGGTCCAGAGGTTAAGCGTTCAAGCGCGAGACCGATAGGTTTTGGCTTCGAATCTCTTGGGGCGGGATCGTAGATGAGCGTTGTTGAGGAG